GCGTCGGGAGAGATCAAAGTCGGGGCGGGGCGGCAGTGCTACTTATATGGCAAAGGCTTTGGTCCCGGTTCGTGCCGCAAACCAGGACCAATGCCTCTCTTTTGTCCCAGTTTGAGCCACCAACCGAGACCAAATGCCTCTTTTCGGCAACCCAAAGGGCGGGAAACAAAGACCTTTGGTCCCGGTTGGTGGCTCCAACCGGGACAAAAGGGGCGCATTGGTACAGGTTGGTGACATCAACCGTACCAAAGAGGGGCATTGGTACCGGTTGACGCCACCAACCGGTACCAATGGACCCGTCTAATTTTTTATTTTCTGCAACTGTTTTTTAGTTGATTCTTTCTGCAGCTGTTTTTTTAGTCCCACCTCGCCAAGCGAGAGGCACTCGCAGCTGTTTATAAGCCCTGAGTGCAGAGACGATGAAGAAGAGGCTCAATGCTCACCTGCATGTTGGTTAGCTTCAAGCCTTGAGGAATAGAGTAGACTGCACAGAGCTATGTGTAGTGCAGTTGACACTATTCCGAAAGGCTTGAAGCAAATTAACGAGCATTGCACCTTTTTTTCTTTTTAATGACTTATTTTTAATAGTTGTGATTAACTTAACTAAAAAATGAGCATAGATGCTTATTTTTAATGACTTATTACAACTCAGAAATAAAAAGAAAAAAATAAATATAGCAGAAAAAAAAACAATATAAAAAACTACTCAGAAATAAATAGAAGAAAAATAGTTGTGATTAACTTTACTAAAATAATGAGCATAGATGCTTATTTTTAATGACTTATTACAATTCAGAAATAAATATAAGAAAAAATAGTTGTGATTAACTTTACTAAAAAATGAGCATAGATGCTTATTTCTAATGACTTATTACAACTCGGAAATAAAAAGGAAAAATAAATATAACAGAAAAGAAAAAAAACTACTCAGAAATGAGCATAGATGCGCTTATAGAGAAAATTCACCCTAAATTCATAATAAATTTCTACTAACTTCAGAGAAATTCAGTATGAATTTAGGTTAAATTTCCTGTATAAGGGCATCTATTTTCATTTTGAGAGGAGCTCAACAAGGCAGAGAGGGAGGGGCTTATAAACCGGTCTGATTCCCCTTCGGTTGGCGAGGTGGGACTAAACTCTGACCGCAACGAGGACCAACCCTTTAGTCCCGGTTGGTGGCATGAACCGGGACTAAAGGGCAGCCTTTGGTCGCGGTTCATGCCACCAACCGGAACCAATGGTGGTGGGCCAGGAGCGAGGACCATTGGTCCCGGTTCGTCCCTCCAACCGGAACCAAAAGGTCCAGACGAACCGGGACCAATGGCCCACGTGGCCCGGCCGGCCCCCGGGGCTCACGAACCGGGTCCAATGCCCCCATTGGTCCCGGTTCTGGGTTGAACCGGGACTAATGGGCTGAACCGGCCTGGATCATTGGCCCTTTTCTACTAGTGTAAAGGTCTAAATAATAATCAATGTACGCAAATATAATTTTTTTAGGCCAAAAAAATATGTGCCTCCAAAATCATTATGCATATCAAATATTATATACATATATTACCTTAATTTTTCTTCTAACATTCTTATATACAAAATTACTAATGATATTTTCCATGGGGGCGAAACTGGATTGAAAGCTCATCAGAGATTCGGAGGCAATTGAGGTTTCCTGAGCTTTGCTTGGATCGCGTCGCGGAGCAATATTTGGGCACTCGCCTTTAGGACAGGGAGCGCCGGTCGACCGTACGACTCGTCCCTATGCCTTCCTCCTCGTCAATTCGTCATCAATCAAAATCAAAAAACAAATCAGCCAACTGCTTCACCTCGGGTCGCCAGTCGCCACCTCAGTCTGCCGCCGTAGTTGATAGAGGCAAGGGTGCCATGTCCTCATCAGTAGTCGTCGTAGGCATCACCAGTCCAGCACAAGTCCTAGACCAGCACAGAATCATACAAGTTCAGTTTACGAACTGCGGATATATATAGACTCAAGGTAATGCCGTGCAAATTCGGCGACACATTTTCCAGGTACGGTACTCCGAGGACAGACACCTTAATTAATACGGAGCATGCAACAAATCAACTGGATGAGAGTCTAGAGTACTTATCAAGTTTAACAAAGATAGAAAAAGAACAGCTGCAGCTCGTGGTTCTAACTCGGGCAAAAACAAAGAAGAACAAGTGTCACAGAAAATGTGTGGTTCTTATTCAGTGGAAAAGGATAGCCGCCGTGGCGACTCAAACAGATAACCCCCTGTATACCTAGGACAAGAACAAACAACACAAGTGCTGCTGAATGAACTCCAAAGGCACAGAAATGCCGCAAACTAACCGATGCCTACGCTGGTACTCCTGAAATGCTCTCAGTTCTCAGTATCTCACCGCAACAACTTCCATGCTGAGTAGGCATCAGTTATTTCAAGTTAAGCTCCAGAATAAGCAGAGACACAAAAAATAAATTATATGGAGATTCAAATCGAAGCATTTCAAGAGTACCGGCGTCTTGGGAGGAGCCAGTACATATACAGTCAGCTCACACACCCGGTCATTGCAGTTCAGACTGGTGGTGGAACCATGGAAGAAGCTGTGCCTTTCAAATCAAAGAACTGGAAAAACTGGTGTGGCATTATCTTGATTTCCCATTTAAAGGCTAGCATCCACAACAAAAGACCAAATTCAATGGCTAACATAGCCTTGCTCTAGAATTAGACATCATGGCGAGCACTCAAACTGGTGCAGTCAAACTTTAGGAAGATCACTAGTACATTATCTTCTACTTATAACGGCTCAGCTAAACAAATTCCTCACTATCAGCAATTCAGGATAGAGCAGGTTTAAGTTTCACATCAATAACCCGACATTTTCCACCTTGCGAACTTTGCTGAACAAACCCAGAGCCCGGTGTACAAAAGATTAAGAGATGAATCCCAGCAACGGCATGACTCAAAATGAGCTGAAGAAAGAAAAAAACTAGAAGCAAACACAGGTGTAACATGTACAGTTAAGTCAGACCATGAAAAAACCACACTGAGTGCAGATACCAATAAATGTAAGCCACAGCCGCAGCCACAGGCCATGAAAATCTCATCAAATGCAGAAATAACAGTTAATCGCTCAGATAACAACACAAGCAAGTCAAAGCAACAGTAGAGCTGGGTAAGTCACATTACATGCAGATGCAGATAACTAGTACATTTTACATATCCAAGTCACGAGAAGTCTCAGTTCATGGTGTTGCTAAAGCCACAACCTTCTGTTGCTAAACCCCAAATCTCCAACACTCCAAAAAGAGCTGCTAGCTAATGCTACATCAGTTCCCTATCACAAGGAAATGCGGCATTCAAACGATAATGCTCTAGCATCTAACGAACATCCCATTCAGTACTGGCTTAAGAGATAAACGGGTCGCCGATAGAAAGATCAGACGCTTCGTCATACCTCCAAACTTGACCTGCCGGACGCTCATGGACCACCAAGGAAGTTCCGCCCCAGACCTTGCTTGCCCACATTTTCTTGGAAGCAAACGGCTGCAGCTTGCTCGTGGCCCCGCGAGTGGAGATAGAATCCAGGCCGGCCAGCAGGACAATCACCTTCTGCAGCAACACAGCTCTCCCAAGAACCAGCTTCAGGAACTCAACCTGGTTTGTGCCCCCGTTGAACTGGTCGAACACCAGCTTCTGAACGCGCGACTTGACGCATTTGATCGGACCGACCGCCTGCTTGGCTTGAATTCACCCGGGTCATCGTAGTGGTCGGTGTCATTGTCAGACTGCAAAATCAAAGCACACAATTCAGCAAGCCAACGATGGAATGCAAGCAGTAAAAATTGGAGATTTTGAATGCACAGAGAGAGAGAGAGAGACACAGGGTAAAACTCACAGCCATGATGTGTAAGGTCTCTACTCCAGGGAAGCATCTCAAGAAACACAGCAAAGTTCTGATTTCTTTGGGCACTCTGAAACGGACCTTCAGAGCTAACACCTTCACACTTGGAACCACTGTATTTGGGGTTGGGCAAACTTTTGTCACCCCAGCCTGCACATCGTCGCAACATCAATCAGACAATCATGCAAATCATACAGTACCAGGTAGCATAACACTTTAAGATTTGTGAGAATTGGAGTACCTTGATGATGGTGTTGCCGATCTCAAGCTCGTGGGTGGCCGTGTCCAAGTAGCCGAGCACGGCGAGCTTGGGAGCATGGCCTATCTTGACCTTGATGACCCTGTCATCCTCAGTGGGGTGCGTACAGTAGATAATGAGGCGCTGCAGGTTTGGGGCGGCCACGACGGCGACCTCGTCCGCCAAGGAATGCCAGAGCAGCAAGCAACGGAGGCTGCGGCTGCCGATGCGGACGCGGTCGGGGTAGAAGTAGTTGGAGATGAGCGCCAGGGTCTCCAGCTTGGGGCTGCAGGCGAGCACGTAGTCGAGGTCGCTCTCCTCCGTTTTGCCGTGGCAGAGGCCGAGCTCCTGGAGGTGGGGGAAGACATCGGGGCCGCGCGGGAGGCCGGTGGTGAAGGGGAAGAGCCAGACGCCGAGGTAGAGGCGGCGGAGCGACGCCCCGCAGCGGAGGAGGGTTGCAGGCAGCTGCACGGGCTCGTCGAAGGAGTAGGGGCGGTTGACGAGGGTGAGGTTCTCCACGCCCTTGTCGGCGAGGTGGCGGAGCCACTCCGGGAGGAGCGCCTCCTTGTTGGACTCGTCGATGGGGATCTCGGCGATGCGGACGGCGCGGAAGGGGCCCGGGTGGGAGGCGAGGACGCGGGACACCAACGCGGCGGCGGGGCCGGGGGACGGGAGGAGGTGGGCATCGTCGAGGGCGAGCGGGGTGGCGCGCCAGAGCCCGCGCCAGCGGCGCGAGAGCGCGCCGGTGCGCGCGGCGTCCTTGACCGGGAGGCGGGAGACGACGTTGCGCAGGAGGGTGTCGGGGAGCGCGCTGATGCGGTCCTCGCCGTCGGAGGAGGAGGTGGCAGCGGAGAGGAGGGCGGCGGGGGAGACCGGGGAGGCCGGGAGGCAGCAGTCCATGATGTGCTCGAGGCCGGCGATGTCGCCCGTCGACATGGCGCCCGGCGGCGGCGGCGGCGGCGGGCGGAGGGAGAGGAGAAAGGTGTGGGTTTCCCTTGGGGGGAGCAGGTGTGTGTCCTTCCTTCCGACCGACGAGTGAGAACTGAGATAAACTTGGATGGCAATAAAAACAAATTGAGTTTGGTCTCACTGTACTCCACTTGCTAGGGTTTCGCGTCCGTGGGCCGGAGCAGAATGGGCCTTCTCCCTTGTTCGTCCGTCTGTGATTTTATTCTGAACTTCGACTAAACAAGTTCTTGCCAACTTCTTGGTTATTTTGAGCAATTTATTGAGGTCAGAACCCCCCCCCCCCAATGTTTATTTTATAAAAACCACTTCATCATTGTATTAAAACTAGATGGTTTATGAATCTAAATATATTTTTTATTACTTTTTTATGTTCTTTGTACTGTTTTGACAATTATGAATAAATCGAAAGCTTTCAAATGCATCACGTGTACTCCATTGTAAAGCTATTTTTATTGATTTTATCAAGATCAACACTTTTAAATATCCCTTGCTCAATTTCGATCACTTCAGC